GAAATACCACAGGTGTGAATTTCACAGTTAACCACTAGAAGAAACATGGTTACAGGTAAGCAACCTTACTGTTCTTATCTTATAAACTGGCTCTGCTGCCCCTCAGTTTGTGTTCAAGGACTCTTGGCTTTTGACTTTTGGACAGATAGCATTTTCCCCCCTGGACTGTGACCCTGGCTTTCCTGGTTACTCTTCTCTTGTGACCTGACTCCCCTGCTCCTCTGACAAATGGGATTTCTGACCCTGTACTGTGATCTCGACTTTTGATGTTACTCTTGTATTGAGACCTGACCCTACTGTTCCTCTGACAAATAGCATTTCTGACTCAGGGCTGTGACGATCGCTTTCATTGTTACCCTTGTCTTAAAATTGACTCTGCCCCTCCTCTTACAAACACTATTTCTGACCCTGGACTGTTGATATTGACTATCTTAATTCATTTCTGTGAGTTTATTTGGATTTCTATTTTCCAAATGGAGTTGTGTAAGTGAATGGTTTAGGGTTGTGAAAAAATTGACCAGAAAAATAGAGGGGTCACAACAGCAATAACATCTGGCTTTAACCATAAACAAGGTGAAGTTCTGGCTAGTATTTGGATATAAAAGGAATGTCAAGTGCTGTAGATTACATTTCAGAGGAAGGTATTAGCAAATTCTCCTAAGTATTTCTTGCCCAAGAAAGCCCTGTGGAAATTCATGGGGTCACTGTAAGTCAACATCCCTTGGCTTTTCTACTTGAATATACTTGCATAGTAGTAGAATGAATTATGCAAGGTAACAATAAATCCAATTCCATTTGTGTAATGCTTACAGGTATTTCATGTTCTGTATCATATGAACTGCACCTCAGTTGCATTGCTGTGTATAACGATTTTTAGCTTTGTATCATTTGGTTCTTCATACTCACTCAAATGCAGTGAACTGTGTTTCCAGGACAGGAGTTCAAACCAAGAGTATGAGCCCATTTGAAATCCTTATTAAATTAAAGAATGATGGTGGGCGGAGAGGGGCTGGAAAAGAGAATCACACAATGTGTTCTATTTTTGGTCTATTCATGCATTTCTGCATGACTGGAGAATGGCCCTGTTGCTCCAGTCTGCCACTTTTCGCTTCCTATAACTCTTACGATGAGGCCAAAGCATCTTGCTTCAGTCCACAGGGCTTCCTGGACACAAGTCTTTGCTATTAATTACTTGCAATTAATTGTGCTTTGCAGGAATACAGTCATTTACATTATGATGGCACGTTCATGAGGAATATGTTATCTACCACAGTGCAATTTTTAAATTCTGCTGACACATCACCATAAAGTGTAGAAAGAGGGGATAGATATATCTGTTAGCCCACCTAACAGACCAGTCCAGCTTCCTGCCTAATCGGTGACCATCTGCTGCCTCCTTCCCCATTATGCATTTCAGAGGTTTTCTCCTTTGTTAACAAAGATTTGGGCAAATGCTTCTTTGGCATTATATTCAAATTGATGAATTGCTTTGTGTGATTCATCCAAACTAGATTATCATGTTAATAGTAGCAAATTCAGAATGCAGTTACACTATCCTTATGATCGAACTACTGTTTGAGTACATCTCCTCCTAGCCAGATTTGTTTTCTAAATATGAATTACATATTTTAATAAATATTACAATAAAGTTTATTTTATAAATGTAACAACCAATAAGAAATGTACTTTTATGCTGAATACATGAAGTTTGTAAGTAAATCAACTATGTTAGTTTTTAATGAAGACTACTTAATTTTGGTCTCTTGAGAGTATGGTTTACATTTTATGGGAGAATAGATGTTTTGGGGTAACTGAAAATAACACCTCTGAAGATCTGCTATATATTTTATGCATTAGCATATCTTTGTTCCTAACAGTTTGGAGAGATAACCACTATGTCAGTCTAACAACTGAGAAGCCTAATTTGCCTTGCATGAATGCTACTAGATATTTACCACTAAGGAGAAGATTCACTCAAATGAGTATTTAACTCGTGGAAAGATCATACTTTACAAAACATTATGATTATTCCAAATAGTGTGAATGCCAATTAATCTACAAAAGGGTCACACTTCCAAAAGGCTATGGAGTTTCCTGGTTTTCCAAAAGGTTATGATCTCTAAAAGGTCATGCCTTTCCGAAAATCACGTATTGGAAAATGTTTGACTTTACAAATTGTATATTTATATTGCTGAATTCTTGAAAATGGGTTTCTTAAAGATTTGTGTTTAACATCTTGTTTCTTTACCTTATTTTCAGTATCCATAATGGAGTAATAGCTGTGTTCCAGCGAAAAGGTCTTGCAGAACATGAACTTTACAATCTTAATGAAGGTGTCAGGTTAGTACTATATCAGATATACTTCTCATAAGTGCTTGCTGCATTTCCTTTTCCTTTTCAATATATGGGTGGCAGTTCTAATTGTAACTTTGATTTAATAATTCCCTGCAGGACTTCAAATACAGTGGTATGGATATGAGGAACTGAAAGATAGATTTATGGTAGACAGTACAAGTATCAGATTTGAAAGAGATCAGAATTTGACAAGGAATAATTACTAAGTGAAAAGGAAAAAAAGTACTAATAAAGAACACGTTATTGCTAAGATACATATAAAAAGACTTACCGAAGATAGAAATGGAACCAGAGTTGATAAATGAATGTATGATTAAATGGGAGCAAAATGTCAGTCACAACCAATCATTAGATAAATGGGGAGGGGGGGATCGCTTAAGGAAAATCTTGTGTTAAAATCTTAGAGAAAAAATTTACAAGATAAACAAATGATACGTTACCCCAGCAAAACTTGATAAAATGTATAAGGGAAGAAACAATAACTGTTGGAAAGGAACTTTCTGTACTGTCGAAGGCTTTCACAGCCAGACTCACTGGGGTGCTGTGCGGTTTCTGGGCTGTATGGCCATGTTTTAGCAGCATTTTCTCCTGATGTTTTGACTGCATCTGTAGCTGACATCTTCAGAGGATCCTCTGAAAAAGTAAGTGAAAAAGTAGAAGACGAGAGAGGCGCTTCCCCAAAAGGAATTAACATGGCAAGATATTAGCTGACGGGAACCTGCATTCCCTCATGGTTTGCCTTTACATCACAGTGGATGCCTTTGCGAATGCCAACCCTGTTGGTTTCCTGGATTGTATGGATAGTTAAGATGACAACCCAACTGCACTACTGTGTGAAGACTTGGCTCATCTTATCAGGAGATTATTGGGCATCTGGAGTAGACATATGGAAGTTAATAGTGCAATGTGTGGAGGGCTTGTTCAACTTTGGGAGTCATCACCATGGCAATGATAAACTGCTCTATACTTGAAAGTCAGGGTACTTTCATGCAAGATTGACCTTTCTGAGTCAGTTGTTTTGGCAATATGTTAATAGTATGTTGGTTTCATATTTAGAAAGAGCAATTGTTTTGAAACTGGGGTCATAGTACATTGTACTCAGATTAAAAAAGAACAATAAGCAACTTAAATTTGCAGCTTTGTTTTGATTAGCAATATGGGCAGCACTGGAGGATTCCCCCCCTCCCCCAAAGCATTTGAATTTGTAAAATTGTCTCCGTATCTTCTTCACTAGAATTAGTTTTGAAGGGAGAGGAGAAACACGTATGTGTGCAGTGTGGTGGTGTAGAGTGGTAGGATCATTTAAAGGAGCAAGAGATTCAACCAGTTGGCTAAGTATGGCAGAGTAGGAGCAGCAGAGATATAAGAAGAATTGAGAAACCATGTCTAATCAGGGGGCATGGATGAAGATACTCTTAAAAGTGGAAGAAGAAAGAATGCACAAGCTAAAGAAGGGATTTAAAGGGAGACATCACTTTGTCAGAGGCCCAGAAGAAATGCTGTGATTTTAGCTGTTGAGTTTTTAAGAGTAGACTTAAAGGTGTGCAAGAGGTGTAGAGAAATCTGTAATAGTTAACATGGAAGAAGAACATGGCATGAAAAAGAATTTTGCAGAAGGGACATTGTACAGTGATTCAACTAGGGCAGTGGTTCTCAACCTGTGGGTCGCCAGGTGTTTTGGCCTACAACTCCCAGAAATCTCAGCCAGTTTAGCAGCTATTAGGGTTTCTGGGAGTTGAAGGCCAAAACATCTAGGGACCCACAGGTTGAGAACCACTGAACTAGGGAATTGATCGAGCAAGAAAGAACAACAAAGATTATACCCATTTTATATGTCAAGTGTTAAGGAAATTTACAAGAAAAATGCTTGGGACAAAAGATTAGTCATTCCTTCTTAGACATGTTGAGTTTGAGATGGGATATTTAAGTTGATACATGAAACATACAGGTGGACATGTAGAACTGGATGGAGAAGTGAGGCAAAGAATCTGGGTAACGCTAGCATATACATGATACTGGAACTATGGAGATTGATAACATCATCCAAACACAGAGTATAAGCTAGAGCAGTGGTTCTCAACCTATGGGTCCCCAGATGTTTTGGCCTTCAACTGCCAGAAATCCTAACCGCTGGTATACTGGCTGGGATTTCTGGGAGTTGTAGGCCAAAACATCTGGGGACCCACAGGTTGAGAACCAGTGATAGTCATGGGACATATTCCCAGGGGAGCCCAACAAAAAGAGGGAAGGTAGAGTAGAAGCTTACTCCAGTGTAAATGCTGAATTACTGATCCAACCATTAAGAACAGATGGGAAACACAGTTAGAAGTGAATGGCCTGCTTCAAAAATGAGGACAACAAAGAGAGGAAGTTATAATGAAATAGGGTATCAATGACTCAAACATAAGGCATTTTAGCTGTCTCCAGATGTTGTTTACAGACAACTTACATCTCAGAGTTACTTTGCTATGCACTATTGTATTTCTTGCCTTATAGAAAAACACTCTTCCCTATTTTGGAAGGATTTTTCACCACAGATCAATTGCATATGTCCCTTTCCTACTCTCCTCATAGCTAAATTACACCTCTGTCTTAATTTTTTTTTTAAAAAAAATCAGTTTTAATATGCTAAGTGCACATTAGAAGCATTGTGAGAGCCCAGAATAAAGAACAATAACAAGCTGTTTTGTTTCATTTTACTTCTGTTTGGGTCTACTCATTTTGTTCTGAAAAACAAAACAAGTAAAAAGTGTAATGAGGAAAATGAAGTGTAAAGTGATGTATACTGGGGCAAAAAGCTCCTCAATTCACATATTACATTCTTCAAGAGATGGTATTGGCATACAGAGTTATCCTATCTCATTCACAGTATTTCTCCATCTTTCCATGTTTCCCTAATACTATTTCCATTTTTTAAATGTTATTTTTAAAATAAAATTAAGCAAGGAAATATGCAATAGTTAAACAGTCATTTGGTTGGTAATGCTAGAAACTCAGTGATTCTGAAATCATGCACAATGAATACATCTACAGTACAATGATGTAAGCAACACTGATGCAAGAAGCTAAATCATTATAAAATACAGTAAAATATATAGAGTACAGACTAATGATTCATGTACTTTTGTTCCTCTTTGGAATAGGCAGTTACTGAAAACGGAGCTTGGATCCTTCTTTACTGAATATTTGCAGGTATGTACAGCTTGTGATGCTTAAACTTCTATTTACATTTTACATCGTTATCAGAAGCATGCAGCTGGATACACTTAACAGCAGATGTTTCCGTCCTAAAGGGATTTGAGTACTGAAACTTTACAGGTTTGGCTGGTTGCATGCTTGGCCTTTCTTTAACACATTTCACTCTTGACAGCTATTTTTAGAAAGTATCGTATAAAACAGGGTTTCTCATACTTTCTCTACTTGCAATCCATTTGACTTGAGAATTTTTTATGCAGTACAAGGTATATAGGTATGAAATATGAATCAAAATCAACATTTATTGTTAATAAACCAGCATTTGCAAGGTTTGTTAAACAGGCTAATTTTCTTTTTTATGAAGTACAGGTGAAGCACTGCCTGCGAAATAGACTGTAAACACTACATGTTGTTGCTGAGAGATTCAGGCAAACATCTAAAATAGTCACTAAGTGGCATACTAGATAAATTTTTAGGACTAAAGGAACCCCATTTTGGGCTGGAACCTACAGTTTAAGAAGCAGTGGAATAGAAGAATCAGAGTGTAAGTTAATTCGTGAATTATCTGTGAAAATTGTAAAATGTAGGCAAAACATTTCAGATATAGATTAAATGTCCCTAATCTGAAATACTACCAGAAGTGTTTTGTCTTCTGGATTGTTTCAGATTTTGGAATATCTGCATATACATTGAGATATTTTAGAGATGGAAGCCAAGCTCAGCATTACATTTATTTTTCTTTCATATATACCTTATGCACATAGACAGAAGTTATTTTTATGCACAATATTTTAAATAAACGTGTGCATGGAACAAACTTCGTGTACACTGAACCATCAAAAGGCAAAGCTGTCATTATCTCAGCCACCCATCAGGAAAATTTTAGATTTTGGAATATTTTAAAATTCTGGAAGAAGGATGCTCAGCCTATAACATAACAGGAGAACAAAGTACATGAGATACCAGTAATGTTTAAATTACCTTTTTAAAGGTATTTTGAAAAGGTGCTTTGGTAATAAGTTTTGTGTCATCGTCCTATCAATTCTAAGTTGGGTTTTCTTCAATAAAACATCACAAAGAGTAGTGAGGAATATAATAACAGTGCTGCGAGCTACTCTCAGGAAAACAGGTGCCTTTCAAAAAGTAAGTCTCAAAGCTGTAGGATAGCTTCATTTGAATTTCATGGTCTGCATGTTAAAAGGTCTGTTTCTCACTGAATGGGCCACCCCATGTCTGGGTATCACATTTTCAGATAGCATATGAGAAGAGTGCATGTGCTTCAGTTTTCCTCCATACATGACATGTTTCTTTCACATAATATACTGGACTTAATAATTTCATGTTGGAATAATTACAGAAACAACTAAGACTTTCCTTCTATTCACACTTAAGTCACCCAGGAACAAGGCCGTTGCTTTAAATTCAACTGAATCTTTTTTTCATTCATTCAAATCATGTGTTCAGTGTCTCAAAATCTGGGGAGGGGCAGGAGGAGACTTAAGAGAGTATTTCCTAAAGTTCTGTTAAGATGGCAAGCAGGAATTAATACTGAAATAACCTATGTCAAATTCACATAAATAATACGTATAACATACGAATACATTCTTCATTTAATAATATGCAAATATACAGCAGAATCGACGTAATATGTTCACAAGTCCTTGCTTATTTTAAAGGGCTTTGGGCAGTTTTGGTTCATCAGGAGGGTTTCAGGGGCTGGTAGTTGTATGAGGTCCATGAGCCACTTATACCCCCCCCCAAAAAAAAAAAAACAATTTGCCACCGCTCAGGATGGAGATAGGAGCAAAATGAAGGCATGGTGAAATGCCTCACAGAGGTATTGCAAGTCTTGTGCTTCCCTGCCAAAGAGACCTTCATTTTTTCCTTCTCTGTTGTGGGTGCACAGAGAATGTCTGAGAAATTTCTCTTAAAGCATTACTCCAGGGTTTCAATACTCACCTTATTTTAACAATGTAGCATATTCTGTTCAGGCATGTAGCTGGGGGGGGGGGGGGCTTGAGGGGCTTCAGCCCCCCCCCCCCCAAATTCTCAGGGTGGCCCACGAGAAGGCCTTACTGGTACATTATTTAAACTGTTATGTTTATTCATATCATGATCTGATCACCATGCTCAATATATCCCATATGCATGGGGGTATTGGTGTAACGATACAAAAGGTTTGCTAGGGTAGACCCTCTTTCACCCCCCCCCCCCCGGAATCAAAATCCTGGCTACGGGCCTGATTCTGTTCCAATCTCCTGTCCTTTGCAGTCTTCCCTTTCTGTATATACTTCCCTGTAAGTCTCTTAAAGGACCTAATGCATGTCTTCCTCTCAAGAACTTCCTGCTGAGTTATTGAAAGACAAGCTGCATCTTGCCACTGACATCAATTGAAAAAGTAACATAGACCAAAAACAGCAACAGCTGTTTAACAATAGCAAAAAAAAAGAACAACTTCACTCAGTTGTAAGGTTTACACTCAGTTGACAACACTGGAGAAATTCAAGAAGGGAGATCATGAGGTTAATTCATCAGGAGGGTTTTCAGGAAGCCAAGGAGGCAGGAAGCAAGATGATGGATAAGTTGCAAAATAAATAGCATACCCACCCTTTCTCCCTCTCCTCAACAAATACCCATACCCAGTAGGTTTCAAAAAGGCTACAATTAGTTTATTTTTAGTTCTTCTTGAATGGTTTAAAGCAGGGGTGTCATACCCATTTTCATCAAGGGCCACATCAGCATTCTGGTTGCCTTCAAAAGGCCGTTGAATACATGGACAGAGAATCTGTGGATACATGGGGTCTGCCATATTTTTTTTACATAATGATCTGTGCTCTTTAGTTTTTACCCCATTTGGGTCCACAGATATTCTTGAATGACATCTCCCATGGGAATTGCAACCCATCAGCGCTTGTGGCTCTGAGGGTGGAGAAAAATTCAAGGACATTTTAAAGTCAGATATCATATCCACAAGTCTTGTATCTTAAATTCAAACTTCAATAACCTGACTAAACAGAACCTAAAGCTGTGGCCTTTCAGATGATCCATTAGCTCGAATCATGATGTCTAATAATGAGGCATACAGGAGTTGAAGTCCAGCTTCTGGGGGGCCACATAAAATGACACAGCAGATTGGATTACGCCCACGGGCCTTGAGTTTGACACTCAGGAAAATTCAGGGCTTACATTAATTTTCTCAACTGGAGTGAGCCATTGAATTGTTTACTAGGTAACACTTATTGTTGATGGGTTGTTTGTTTGTTGCATTTTCATGCTGCTTTTCTACCAGAGCAGAACTTGAGGCAACTTTCAAAACTATTAAAATTCACAATAAAATTTTAAAACAGTTAAAAACTAGAGGAAAAGATAAAACAGCATAAAAACACATTAAATACCAATCAGACCTTTTCCAGATATTTCTATGTAGTCATCTGCAGAGTGAAACCAGTTTCTTCCAAATAGGTTTCAATCTGATCTAAATAGTCAGTGTAGATATGCCCAGGTTCCTTTATCAAGACCCAAGGGTTCCTTACCAGACATGTTAGTGTGGGGGAAAAAATCTCTGCTCATGAAAAGGGTATAAAATTAAAGAAAGAGCATTTTGAAATTTATTTCCTCCAAACCGGCATAAAAGCTATAAAGTATACAATCCTATTCTCTTTGCATATTGATTGTTTATCAAGGCAAAATGATTAAGCTCTAAAACAGTCAATAAGTAGAGGTTAAAGTTATACACTGTTTGAAATGTTAAGATGGGAAATCCTGTACAGCAAAATTACTCTCCCCATGGCTCAAGTAAAACTTATGAGCATTTTCCTTTATAATGAAGTGCCTTAGAAAAGTTATTTGCTGTTGACATACAAAAGTAGTCTTTTAATAGATTGAGCTTACACAAAAAGAGAAATGAAGTTATTTGTGTTATGTTTGCAGAATCAGCTGCTCACCAAAGGAATGGTGATCCTGAGGGACAAGATTCGGTTTTATGAAGGTAATCCAGACATCAGTTATGCCTGTTGTGCCTCGTTCGAAAGGACATCAAAACCTAAACTCCCTTTTCACTTGGCTTCTGACCAAAAGCCATAACAACAGCCTGCTTCTGCCTCAGCAGTCATTTAATGTTCTTGCCTGCTGAACAAGGAAATGAAATTTGTCTGGCACATCAGCTGAGCAAACTGCAGCCTCCAGGATGACGGTTTACCTTTTTCTTAAATTAGAAAGCTCTTTATGATTAAATAGTCACCTGGACACTGCTTAGAAACTGCAGAAGCCAAGTCACTGAAAGTATTATTTTACATAGATTCCACTCTTCTTCTAAAAAACAACACAATCATTGCCACATATTTCTCTGGCAGCATCCTATCCAGGCTGAGCTTGGGGCCAAATTAGCTTAATCTCTGTATTGAAGTTGCATTATGTTCTTTTTATGACAGAGTGTCCCAATCTTTGATTTAGCAAGATTTCCTGTGGAGTGTATATCTGAGAAAGCCTGCTTGTGTATACATGTATCGCCAACTAGATGGGGAAAGGACATTGTGCATGCTTTCTCCACTTAATTCTGTAACTGCATATATACATTCTGTGAATCAACTGTCATGTCCACAACAAGCCAAATTTTTCAAAATTATTGCAGGAACAGAAAGTGAGGTGAAATCTTCTGAACAGGGGAACAGACAGCAAAGCAAATGTTACAGGGGTGTTCATCCTTCTCTATGCTATCCAAAGCATGCCTATAGATCAGTGGTTCCCAACCTTTTTTTGACCACTCCCCAACATTAGTACCAAAAGGGTTACAAAACAGTTTTTGGTCAACTTTAGATTCAGTTTGGTTATTTGGAGTGCCGATTCAGAAAATTAGATTGGATAGACCACCCCAGCTCTAATTTCTGATACAGAACATTTGCCATCCAGTAGTCACCATCTGCTCTCCCACAGAACATCATATTTAATAAGCCTCGGTTTTGCGAGACCAGTCACTCTCGTTGCAATAGTGTAGTAATGGTGAGGCCGCAAGCCATATTTTAGTTCTTGTGGACCACTGGTGGTCCACAGACCACAGGTTGGGAACCACTGCGATGATAGATAGATAGATAGATAGATAGATAGATAGATAGATAGATAGATAGATAGATAGATAGATAGATCGAGATATACAGCGTCTGTCTGTCTGTCTGTCTGTCTGTGTCTCTCTCTCTCTCTCTCTCTCTCTATATATATATATATATAGTATAAAATAGGAATCATTTTAATAAAAGGAAACTCTATGCCCAGAGTTAGGCTGGTTTCCTCCCAAGTTCTATAAAGTGAAGCACAAATTATTTTGCTTTCATAATAAAGCAAGAATGCAGCAACTGAGACTACAGGCATTCCTTAAATTATGAACAGGAAACGTTCTTTAGGTTTGTTCTTAAGTTAAATTTGTTGGTAAGTTGGAACAGGTACTTTTCAAAGTGTAACTCCAGCCATATACTATTTATTTATTTATTTATTTATTTACTATATTTATATACCGCCATTCTCAGCCCAATCTGGAAAATAAAGTAATGAGAAAGTGTTGGTTTCTAATATATGTAATTTCTTTCTGCTTGTGGGTAAACAGTATTCCTTGCTGTTTCTTTGTCAGTGTTGATGTGGAGATTGCCTGGTTTGCCTACTCTGGAACATGCAACATATAATTGTCCTTCTTTAGAGGTCCCTTTCAAATCTATGATATATAAATTTTCTGCATGTCTCCTCATGGACTTCCCTGTTATGCTTGAAGGCAATTCCCATATCAACAAATTCAAGAGTTTACAGTTAGGTTTTTGTTTTTTTGGGGGGGGGGGTTTGGTCGTGTCAGGAGCATCCTGTTGTGAGTTAGGTACAAAACATACAGTTAGGTACAAAACATACACTATACCCTTTGTCTCAAAAATCCATAGAAAGGCAACCAAAACATATTTCCCTTCCCTTGTGTGTACCTTAAAGAGACAAGAAGTTGAAAATATGTACATGCTCAACTCAGATCCATGTATTTGGCAGCTAGTTTTTACTCTCATATACAAAATACTTTTGTGAGGTTCTTTTGTGCCCTATGCACCTTAACTATGTTTTTTCTCCAACATTTAGGACAGAAACTTTTAGATACCTTGGCTGAAACGTGGGACTTCTTTTTCAGTGATGTCCTGCCCATGCTTCAGGCTATATTCTATCCCGTTCAGGTAAAGTATTACTTTGTTACTTCAAAATCCAGAAAAACCAGAAAAAGCAACTCTGCTGGTTTACTCAACAGAGAGCCACAATCTGTCAGACATCTCAGCATGGCAAACTGACATTTGCACAGATGGGGAAGTACTTTTGCAAAACACAGGGTGAGGGGAAACGTTTCAAAACAGAAGTTGTAGGCATTTTTCTCTTTGTGTCACAATATTCAAGCTCTCAGCAGAAAAATACTTTTGACTTGCAAAAGCTGTCCTCTCAATCTTACTATGTCCCTAGTACCTCTGTATAAAGGACTAGAATCCAAAGGATCCTGCATTTGTTCTGCTTTTCCAGGGAATATCCCCAACAAACACAGGGCAAGCAACTTTTGAAACTGAAAAATTATGATTTCAAATAAAGTTGGAAACATGAAATAATCTTAACAAAAACAAATACGGGCTGGGAATTTTTCTTGCGTAATTCCGTAGGACTGAACACAGTATGCTTCCACATAGTAATTTAAAATCAAGTAATCTATAAAGTAGATTTTATTTTCATTCTTTTTTTCAGGGAAAAGAGCCTTCTGTCCGCCAACTAGCTTTGTTGCACTTCAGAAATATTATAACTCTCAATATCAAATTGGAAGATGCCTTGTCCCGTTCCCGAGCAAGGGTTCCTCCTTCAATAATTCAAATGTTGCTCATTCTACAGGTATGTTTTCTTGGATATACCAAATCTGGTATCGGAGTTAAGATATGTCACATCAAAACAATGGCCAGTGTTGACGGCTTTCATGCAGCAACCCATTCATCTGGAGAAGGAATGAATACACTAGCCTGGTAACCCCACAGTGGAGCCTAAGGCTGCCCAGACCCACACCAAATCCTTGTGAATTTTAATCCCCAAAGCAACAAATGAGTCCAACACAGAATTCTTGGGGAGGTGAAATTTTCTGTTGGCAAATTTCACCTCCCCAACAGATACGGCTTTTCAAAAGCAAACAAAGAAGAAAGAAAAAACTGTCAGTGGAAATTTATATTTGTAAAACAGGTTGTACCCCAAGAGGTTTCTGGGTTTTTCAGCTCTGCAATTCTTTGATTTGAGGGGCTGATTTTGGGTGTGGATGCAAAAAAGGTTGCGTAAATCTTTAAGACACGAGGAAGAAACAATGTCCTTGGACTTGTCACTCAGACTTTTATTTCCTCCATTTGCTCTATAAATTTCCTTTTCGGGGACAAGAAGTGATTAGTTTTTTCCCTGACACATTATTTCAATACTTAATCATGTGGTGGCCTGTGGCAAGAAATACCTTCATAAACTAGAAAAAGGTTTCTTTTAGCATTCCAATATGTTCTAAATTGCCATTTTGCTTTGTTTGCAGAAATGAGATAATGTTAAGGCAGTTATTGCACCTTTAATGTGTCCCAGAGCTTTACTGTATTCAGGCATGTAGCCGGGGGGGAGGGCTTGAGGGGCTTCAGCCCCCCCCCCCCCCACCCCCAAGTTCTCATGGTGGTTCGCAAAAAGGCCTTACTGGTGCATTATTTAAACTGTTATGTTTATTCATATCATGATCTGATCACCATACTCAATATATCCCATATGCATGGGGGTATTGGGGTAACGATACAAAAGGTTTGCTAGGCTAGACCTTCTTTCACTCAGACTCAGCCCCCCCCCCCAAAACTCAGCCCCCCTGAAAAAAAATCACCACCACCCCCCCCCAAACGAAATCCTGGCTATGGGTCTGACTGTATTAATGTATTTATAAGACCAAGTAGTTGTTCATTTTGGAAAGTGTGAGTCAAGAGAATACAGTTCTAAAACTTGTTATTCAAATAAGTTGTTGTCTAATCTAGTCCAATTGTATCTGTTTTAGCGCTCTCAATTAGACCAGTAGTATTTCAGATTCTTTGGGTGTGTTGAACAGTGGTGTTTCGTGCAAGCTTCTTTCTTCTCTCTGAGAGTGTAACTACAGAAAGGAAACTAGTATTTTAAATATATTAGCTATAAAGTGAAGTGCTCTGTTTTGCCAAGTCAGTTAATTAGAGAGTGAGTTCAAAGTTATTTGTATAATTCATAGGAAATAAATATAAATATTTCTAGGACAAAGCAAGAACTGAACTAGTACAAACATCTAGTATCTACAGGTTGAGCATCGCTTACCCAGAAATCTGAAATACTGCAATATCCAAAATTGTCCAAATGAGTGGCTGAGCTGATGACATCTTTGCTTTCTGATGGATCAATACACGCAAACTTGGTTTTATGCACAAAATTATTTCTCAATACTGTGTATGGAATTACTTTCAAGCTATGGGTATAAGGTGTATACGAAACATAACTAAAGTTCGTGTTTAGATTTGAATGCCATCTCCAAGATATCTCAGTAAGTATGTGCAAATACAAGTATTCCAGTATCTGAAAAACTCCAAAATCCAAAACACTTCTGGTCCCAAACATTTTGGACAAGGGATACTCAACCTCTATTACAGAAGACTTTGGCCCCTTCCACACAGCTGAATAAAATCCCATATTTTCTGCTTTGAATTGAAATATATGTCAGTGTGGACTCAGATAACCCCTTTCAAAGCAGATATTGCGGGATTTTCTGCCTTGATGTTCTGGGTTATATGGTTATATGGAAGGGCCCTTTGAAAGATCGCAGATACTGTATATAGAAACAAATCCTGTAGCTTGAAGGCATTTGTTTTTTGACATATACTGTGTCCAGAGTGTACTTTTTTTGAGACTGCTAGGTAAAAGTGAATGCTATTCATCAAACTGTTTTCACAATTTGACAGAAGGGAAGGAAAAACTTAAAAACTTGAGATATTAACAGATAGAGACCTCACTCTGCATCAGCTGTATCACATCAGCCTCAAGTTCAGGCTTTCTGTACAGAAGACTGCCTCATATATAGTTGTCAGTAGGTAAAAGTAATCCCTTACTTGTCATGCTAGGTTTGTATACACAGGAATGGGAAAACATTCCTATCTGCAGCCTAAAAATGCCTCTATGCTATAGAATGAAGGCAGTTTGATACCACTTTAATGGCCAAGGATCAGTGCTGTGAAATTATGGGAGCTGTGGTTTTACAAGGTCTTTCATCTTCTCTGCTAAAGAGTTCGGTATCTCACCAAACAGTCATAGCATTGAGCAGTTAGTGGTATCAAACTGCACTAATTCTTCAGGGTAAATGCACCATAAGTTCCAACAGCCCAGTATGCTGGACTTAAGGTTCAATCCTCTTCACTGAGTTATTTTCAGCTACTTACACTCCCACTGGCAGATAAAATTGGATAATAATATCAGTGAATACCAATTTTACTTTAAAATTTCAGCTTTTTTTTTCTTTAAAGGAGGGTTGGTAGCATAAAGAAGTTGAACAGAACCGGTCCACAGAGTTCCGTCCTGGGCCTGGTTCTGTTCAATAACAACGCATGTATTAATAACTTAGATGAAGGGTTAGAAGACATGATCATCAAGTTTGCAGATGACACCAATATTTCAGAAGACAGGAGCTGAATTCAAAACAATCCTAACAGATGGGAATGAAGGGCCAAAACTAACAAAATGAAAGTTCAACAGTGACAAATGCAAGTTACTCCACTTAGGCAGAAAAAATGAAATGCAAAGATACAGAATTGGGAATTCCTGGCTTGACAGCAGTACATGTAAAAAAGATCTTGGAGTCCTCGTGGACAACAAGTTAAACATGAGCCAACAATATCATGCAGCAGATTAAAAAGCCAATAGGATTTTGGCCTGCATAAATAGGAGTGTAGTGTCTAGATCCAGGGAAGACATGCTACCCCTCTGTTTGCCTTGGTTAGACCACACCTGAAATATTGTGTCCAGTTCTGGGCACTGCAATTTAAGGGAGATATTGATAGGCTGGAATGTGTCCAGAGAAGGGCAACTAAAATGATCTAGGGTCTGGAGAACAAGTCCTATGAGGAGCGGCTTAAAGAGCTGGGCATATTTAGCCTGCAGAAGAGAAGGCTGAGGGGAGACATGATGACCATGTATAAATACGTGAGATGGTGTCATAGGGAGGAGGGAGCAGGCTTATTTTCTGCCTCCCTGGAGACTAGGACATGGAACAGTGGCTTCAAACTACAGGAAAGGAGATTCCACCTGAACATTAGAAAGAACTTCCTGACTGTGAGAGCTGTGCAGCAGTGGAACTCTCTGCCCCAGAGTGTGGTGGAGGCTTTTAAAAAGAGGCTGAGTGGCCATCAGTTGGGGGTGCTTTGAATGCTATTTTCCTACTTCTTGGCAGGGGGTTGGACTGGATGGTCTCTTCCAATTCTATAATTCTATGATTGTATAATATGCAAAGTTGCATTCTCATACATGTTTTAATTAGAAAAGTTTATTTTTAGACGGACCCTTGTTTTAAAAAGTCTCCTCATTTGCTTGCCAGAGTTGCTATTACTTTTTGTTGCTGCCTTTGTTGAGTGCACTGCTGTGGTTGTACTAGAGCAGGGGTCCTCAAACTAAGGCCCGGGGGCCGGTTGCGGCCCTCCAAGGTCATTTACCCGGCCCTCGTTCAGGGTCAACCTAAGTCTGTAATGACTTGAAAGCACACAACAACAACAATCCTATCTCATCAGCCAAAAGCAGGCCAACACTTTCCATTGAAAAACTAATTATATTTGTTAAAATTGTTCTTCATTTTAATTATTGTATTGTTTTTAAGCAGTTTTTGCACTACAAATAAGATATGTGCAGTGTGCATAGCAATTCATTCATTTTTTTCAAATTATAATCCGGCCCTCCAACAGTTTGAGGGACTGTGACCTGGCCCTCTGTTTAAAAAGTTTGAGGACCCCTGTACTAGAGCAAAACACCAATAGTAATACTTGGAATCATAGTTTTTAACCTTTCAATTTTCGTAGTTTATCTCTTGCATTTTCTGATTCTCTTTTTTTTCATTCAGTGGTAGCTTTATTTGTTTTTGTTACTTCTCATAACAGCCTGTTCTCCCATATTGTAGCCACTCTTAAAAGGAACTCATGGGAAGAGATGCTAACAGGCAGGGAAAAGTCGTCATGATATCCAGTTTGGAAAGCTTGGTTTTGTTTAGGTGACTATTTCTTCCACCCTTGGCTTTCTGGTTTGTTAAGTTTGCCCTACATTAAGAAGCAAAGGCTGTCTTGTATAGTCAGCACAAATCAATCAAAGCCGAGCACCCAAGTTCTTTTCCATTAGACCAATGAGTCTTGCAGTAACTCCTGTGCCTGCGCCAGAGCTTTCGCAAGTCAGCAGTGGCATAAGCTAATTAGGGTAGAGCTCATTATAGATAATGCGCTTGGACAACACTGGCAGCTCTATTTACAGTGCAACAGGATGAAAAGAACCCTATGTGGTTATGAATGCCTGGAGGCAAGCCAGCTGCAGCTCAGGGATAGGACAAGGTCAAGCTGAAAGGGATTCCACTTGGGAGGGCCATTTCCAACCTGAGTCGGCCACAGTCAAGTTTGCATAGTCCCAAACTGGTGGTGTTTTTCCCTATCATAGTGTGAATTCATAAACTGTATTTTTTTTTAAAAAAAAAAGAATGCAGATAAATCTTTCCAGTACAAATAATCACAAGAAGTTTCATTTGTACTAGAAAGAACGACAAAATAAAGTACATTAAATATCTGCAATTGAAAGAGCTATTGGGGGGGGGGGGAGTTAAAATGATGGTATTGTCCTCCAAA